TGAAAAGTCACTAGCAGCTATTTGGGGGAACGATGACACCGTCTCCTCTTAACAGGTGAGGAGGGATTTGGAAGAAGTCAGAGTCTACTCAAAGGCCGTGGGGTTGCTTCTGAGAAGGAAGAAGCGGGAGATAATGGGGGGCTCATGTGTGGGGCTCCCAGGCTTCATCCCCAGTCCAATCACACCAGCTGAGCTGCTCGACCTCTTCTATGCATTTCAGCCTGTGGATAACTTTGTATGATGAGTCTACGGCTACAATAATCGGGAAAGCATTGGAGAGCACACGCACGGAAATGCTACAGGATTTGTTATTAAGTGCCGCTGAGTCAATTGTGACTCATACTGACCCACACATGGCAGGTCTGGACCCGGCCCGGCTCTGTGACAGCCTCATGCTCTCCAGTAAGCTGGGACTCCTTGTTTGTCGCTGTGTTAACGCATCTTCCTGATGGTTTTCCTCTCTGTGCCCCCATATTTTGAATTCAAGGTCTTTTTATTTTTTATTTTATTATTATTAATTTAAATGAAAATTTACAGAGACTCTGGATTTCCATTAATTCATTGTTACACGTTTCTCCCTGCCCACCCCTCCCCTCCAGTTAGTTCTTCTCTTTAAAAAGTAAAATTCTTTCCTTGTTATACAATCCCTGCCCCCACGTCCACTCCACTATGCAGCCTTCATTCTGGACTCATGCCACGACAATAATACCTAATCATATATAGGATTCAAGGTCTTTTAAACAGCAAGTGTCTTTAACAGAGAATCAAGCCTTCGCTACACACGGTTTTGTTGCTCAGTTATCATCATTCACGGGTGAAGAGCCTCAGGGAGAAGGCCGCACATGGAGACTTGGGTGATTCACCCTGGATGTGCAGCTCCCCTGGGATTAGGAGGACCTCTCTTGGGGGTGATAGTTGGTAAAACCATGCTGTGCACCACAGTGAAATCAGGGCCCTCCCCATTTCCCCCCAAAGCCTGCTTACTCACCATCAGAACCAAGCTTTGAGGAAGCATCAAGCAGCTCCAACCTAAGTCCTGCAAATCATGTCCACATTGAACCGTAAATGTACAAGTAACTCTTTATTGATATTATTGCATTGTTATATTAATCATCACATACATGTATTTGTAACTGCTGATTCTTTTTCCGACTTTCATAACAAAGCACTCAACTTTAATACCAGATCGCTCAAAGTATTAATCAGAAAGATTTAGAATTTAATGCAGAAGCAGTACTCTTTTAAATGTTCAATTATTATCTCGCATCTAGCCAAATGACATGTATACTATAATGTACATAGAAACTAAGGATTTCATGAGACAAGTTTAGCTATATTGTAACAGTACTTTCTTATTTTAGATGACTAAGATTTTGCTTGTTAAAAATAGTTTGAGTAAAATTATATTCTTGTCAGACATTTTTAGCAATATTTATAATATTGTAGCTTCTAAAACAGAGTTCCTTTCCCCCTGCTATACTGTGCTGCTGCTATTACGATCATTTAGACAGTGAAGACTATATGGCATTTACCGTGAGCATAAGCGTTGCAATTTCTATTTTGTTATTAGTACCGAATACTGAAGTTAGTGTAGTCTAGTTTAGAGATGGCTTTTTCGTTGGAAAAGTTTGTGCGGTCGATGCGGGAACTTGGGCTCCCAACCTTGCTCAGCCAGGACTTCCTGCAAGAAAGAAAAAAAGAAATGTAAATTAGCATATAAAGTATGCTTAGAGAGGCTAACATATTCCTATCATCAGTAAAAGTGTGGGATTTTGCTTTCACTAAGCAATCTTAGTGCACAAACGTGATATGTAACCTAAAAATGACCTTCTAAAATGATCAGTTCCAGTAGCTTAGAGGTAAGGAGTTGCACTGCCAACCCAGAGGCACATGGTTTGAATCCACCAGCTGCTCTGTGGGAGAAAAATAAGCAATCTCCTCCTGTGCAGTTCACAGCCTCTGAAAACCTGCTGGCTAGTCAGCGATGAGTCAGTTCCACCTTGACGATATACAATAAAAACAACCAAAATATCAGCATTGGGTGAATCTGTTGTTGTTGTTGTTGTTAAGTGCCGTCGAGTCATAGACAACTCATAGCGATCCTATGAACAAAAGACCTGAACACTTGTATAACTTTCTTCGTTTCTTCAAGTTCATATGGCTTCCGGAGGCAAGCTATTTCGGAAGTGGATGCCACTCCTGCCTCCAAGCTTGTTTTAATTGGGGAGCTCTCTCTATGTTGTTGCTAAATGTCATCAAGTGCTAATAAGCAAGGATGTTAGTTTAGAGATTCAGGTGAGTCTGATCCAAGCCCTGATATTTTTACTTGCTTCCTATGCATGTGACAGTTGGACAATAAATAAAGATGACCAAAGAAGACTTATGTGTTGATGAAGAGTATTAAATATCCCATGGACTGACGAAAGAACAAATAAATTGCTCTTGAAAGAAGTGCAACCAGGGTGAACTAGAGACTAGGATGATGACATATTGTCTCATGTACTGCTGTGGGCACGTAATCAGGAGAGGCCAGTCTCTATGTTTAGAAGGGTAGAGGATCAAAAAGGGCGAGGAAGACCCTCAACGAGATGGACTGGCACAGTGACCACAACAATGGGCTTACGCACGGCCAAAAGCTTTAGGATGAGTGCTAGGGGCCTCATGGTAAAGAGCTGCACTATCAACCCCAACGCACATGGAGTGACTCACCAGCTGCTTCATGGGAGAAAAATGGGCAATCTCCTCTGAGCCATTAATTGCCTCTGCAAAACAGCTAGAGGGGCAGTTGTGAACTGGTTCTGCATCAACAGTACGTAGCAGCAACAATAACATTAATTACTGGGCAAAATTTTATTCTACTGTACATATGAATTGGAATTAAACTGATAGCACTTAACAATAATAAGAAGAACATCAAAAGTATAATATATACTTAGCAACAATGAATGAATGGAAATCCAAAATCCCTGTAAATGTTCATTGAAATTAATTTTAAAAAGTATAATATATACTTAAACACATGGACATAGAAAAGCTGATAAAAAATTAAGTACAATACTCCAATGAGTTCATATTGAGGTTACTTTCCTTCTTAAGACAGACTAAGGCAGCCACAGGGCAAAGTTCAACTGGGCAGCAAATAATAAATGCTGGTGGGGTTGTGGACAGATCAGGCCTCGTCACTGCTGGTGAGAACATTAGGTGGTTCAGCCACTACAGAAGGGGATCCGGGTTCTCAAAAAGTTCGGGGAGGAGGGGTGGGCAAGGAGGAAAATGTGCAACAACGTATGAATGGAAATCCAAAGTCTCTGTAAACTTCGATTAAAATTTCAATAATAAAAAATAATGCTTAAAAAAGAATGAAATAACACATTTCAAGTATAAAAAGTTACAGAAGCTGAAAAATTCAAATTTTTTAAAAAAATAAGTTGGAAAAGAGTATACCATTTGACCCAGCAATTCCACTATTGGTAATATACCCTAAAGAAACCAGAGCCACGGCTCAAACAGATGTATACAAACTCGTGTTTAATGCTATGTTACTGACAACAGCAAAGATGGAAGAAACCCAATTGCCCATCAATAAATGACTGGATTGAAAAACTAAGGTACATTCACAGAATGGGTTACTCTGCAGCACTGAAAAAAAATGAACTCATAAAACATTACACAACATTGAAGAGCCTGGAAGACATTACGCTGAGTGAAATATCTCAGTCACAAAAGGATAAATACTGCATAATACTGCTGTTGTAAAATAGGAAAAGGCATGGGGAGGTCGGGGAGAAAATGTAAAAAGAACGGATAGATAATGAACATTACATTAGAACAAATGAGGGGGAGAACTGTCCTAAAGGACTATGTGATTATGCATTGTATGTATGAGAACAATCTGGAATAAGGGGTGCCTTGTAGGGTGTTGGGTTTGGGGAGAAAATGTGTGACAATGAATAAAAAAATATTTAAAAAAATAAAGAACACTGATGAGAAAAAAAATAACATGCTATGGAAGTTATTGCCTAGCTCCTATATGTAAGTTCTTCAGGTCCTCCTCAGTTTTAGCAAGCATGGTTCCTCCAATCTTGATGCCACACTCTTTTTCATAAAGAATGATTTCTCAAATTACTTGCTCCGCATACAGACTGTGTGGATCTTAGCAAACTATGGCTCACCTTGAGAAGAAGGAAATTCCAGAACACCTAATTGTGCTCGGCATGAAATCTATACCAAAAAGCTGTTATCCACCCAGAGCAAGGGAACACGGCATGATTTAAAATCAGGAAAGGTGTTCTTGAAGGCTGTATCCTCCCTCCACACCAATTCAGTCTGTATGCTGAGCACATAAATTGAGAAATCATTCTTTATGAAGAAGAGTGTGACATCAGGGTTGGAGGAAGGCTCATCAAAACGGGCATTATGCAGATGACACAACCATGCTTTCTAAAAGTGAGGAGGACCCGAAGAACTAGCTGCAGAGGATCAAGGACTGCAGCCTTCAATATGAATTCCTCTCAACATCAAGAAAGCAAAAAACCTCACCACTGGGCCAGTAGGCAACGTTATGACAGATAGAGAGAAGTCAATGATTTTTATCTTGCTTGGATCCAGTCAACACTCTTGGCACCAGATCAGGAGAATGTATGCCATCGGGAAAGTGTGCTGTTAGTGATCTTTCCAAAGTCTTGAAGAGCAATGATGTTAGTTTAAAGACTAAGGTGTGCCTGATACAGGCCATGGTCTTTCCAGTCACTTGCTATGCATCTGAGAGCTGGACAGTGAATAAGGGTGACAGAAGAGGTGATGCCTTTGAGTTGTGGTGCTGGAGAAGAATGATGCTTATGAACTGCCAAAGGAAGAAACAAATATGTCTGGGAGACGGTGCAATCAGAATGTTCCTTGGAGGCAAAGATGGTGAAACTGCATCTCACACACATCAGACATGTTGTTATGAGAGGCTATTCCTCGGAAAGGGACATCTTGCTTGGAAAGGTGGAGGGTCAGTGGAGAAGAGGACGGCCCTCAGTGAGGTGGACTGACACAGTGCCTGCAGCAGTGAGCTCAAGTGTGTCTGAGATGAGGAGGTTGGCGTGGGATAGGGTGGAGTCCAGATCTACTCTCACAGGGTCTCTAGGAGTCATACTCCGTTCATTGGCACTTAACAACCACAATCATTTTTCCATGGCAAGCATGTGGACAGGTGAAATATTCTGAAAATATTATTCTGCTTATGTGGCTTTTCTGAGTTTATTAGAGAAATCCATGTATCTCTGCATACATTCGGGATCTCTGGTGACACGGTCTGTAGGGAGTTGCACTGCTGATCGAGGGATAAGAGGGACAGTCTCATCCCATGGGGTTTCTAGCCATGAAAATCCACCGGAGGGTCAGCTATGAGTTGGTTCTGACTCCACTGCAATGAGAGGAGAAGATACCATACACATTTGGGCATCAATGTGAGATGCTTCCTATTCTATGCAGGTCCATTGAACACTGCCAGCACTTCAGATACTCCCAGTCCTTCTACCTGTTGATTATCAATAGGATGAGAGATTGAGTGTTTTAATACATCAATAATATTAAACCATCTTGCTCTGTCATCACAGGAACATCCTGTAAGTTTCCATAACCCTCTACAGTTATTTCAAGTTGTGAAACCAGTGCCATACACAGCTGTAATATCACATGTGACAATCACATACAACCTTGAAATGAAATTACTTTCTTGGCTAAAGCTACTGATTAGCTGAAAATGACTCTTAATCAGGCTAGGGAAGAATTCCAGTAACTCAGTTCCCCCTTTTGCGCTTTCTAATTCTCTCTGTTGTTCTTTCTTGTTTTGGGGGGTTTTGGTTTGGTTTTTGCTGGCTAATGTTAATTACAACTTCTCTTTTAGGAACTAAAGCTATCAATCCCACAAACACCTTATTTTCTGCAACTGATAGAGTTGAAATCTTAGAAATGTAAATTGTGTGCACTTTTTTAATGAATGCCATTTCTTTAAAAAAATGTTTAAAATTTTACGTGTGTGTGTACCGTCAAATTGATCCAATTGGCACAGGAGAAGATTGCCTCTCCTTCTCCAGCAGAGCATCTGGTGGATTCGAACCACGTACCTCTGGGATTGCAGTGCAGCTTCTTGCCACTAGGCCACCAGAGCTCCCTATGAATGCCATTTCTATGAGAAGGAGTTGGATTGCTTCAGCCTTATTAGTTACAACTCCTTGACAGAAAGCAAAATCCAGAAATAAGAACAAAAACCAGCTTTCACTGAATGTTACATTATGTCTCTCTCCAAGGAATAGACTTTCCTAGCAAAAGGGCCAAAGGATGAGAGACGAAGCTTCGCCATCTTTGCCTCCAGGGAGCACTCTGCACCTTCTCCAAGACATTATCTCTGTTCTTTTGGAAGTCCAGGGAATACTCAGCACTCTTTTCCAAAACCACAACTCATAGGCATCAACTCTTCTGTCATCCTTACTCACTGACCAGCTCTCAGGAGCACAGCAAGTGACTGGAAAGAACATGGCCTGTATCAGGTGCACCTTAGTCTTTAAATTGACATCACTGCTCTTCAAGACTTTGTAAAGATCACCAACAGCACACTTTGCAATGCTATACATTCTCCTGACCTCCTGACTGCTGATACCAAGGGTGACAATTGTGGATCCAAACAAGATAAAA